CAGGTTCAGCCAAGTTTGGAGCTTGTCCTCTTTTTCTGCTTTTCAATTTTATGGGTCAATGTATTCCCCTTTATTGTTTAAATCTATTAACATTGAATGATATATTACTGGCAATCAAGCATGCTAAACAGATAGACCTCCCACATGGGATAATCAAATGAAGCAATTTTAGCACTAGGCTCTTAAAAATTATATGAAGCCTGTTTTTGTGGATATAGACTACAAAGGATAAAATGGTAGTATTAGCTTCCACTAGTTATTTACTAGTTGTGAACTCAAAAAAGTATACTCTTTCCCTTTTTTTGTGTTTTTTTTTTTTTAGATGGAGTCTCACTCTGTCACCCAGGCTGGAGTGCAATGATTCGATCTCTGCTCACTGCAACCTCCACCTCCCTGGTTCAAGCAATTCTCCTGCCTCAGCCTCCTGAGTAGCCAGGAGTAACTGGGCTACAAGCACCTGCCACCATGCCCAGCTAATTTTTGTATTTTTAGTCGAGATGAGGCTTTGCCATGTTGCCCAGACTGGTCTCAAACTCCTGACCTCAGGTGATCCTCCCAACTAGGCCTCCCAAAGTTCTGGGATTATAGGCTTGAGCCACTGTGCCTGGACTCAAAAGAGTCTTAATGTCTGTGTATTCTCCTAAGGGTTTGATTGTCACTGATGATGCATGAGATCCTGGGGACTCTTCTTGGATTATGGTTTGGCTGCTACTTGACCTCTCTCTTCAGATACTTATTCAAAAGTGATAATTCAAGGAACCAAGTTGGGTTCCAATGCTTCATTCTAAAGTAAAATATAAATTTGGGGGCATACTCAGGTATGGAAGAATGAACATATTTCTTGCTTTCTCATATTAAAATTAAAATATGAGACCTTGTGCTGGTATACTGGCAGAAAATTTAATCTCAGTTGTTATTGGCATTCCTAAGAAGACTACCACTAGGGTTATGTACAGGTCCCGCAGTGAGTCTCATCACCAAAGCATCCCGGAGGCTCTGTAGCCATTTACTCAATAGTCTAGACTCTAGCCTGGTTACATCAAAGACGGCCATTGCTCCAGCCTGCAAGTTCTTATTAGGGCCAATGGCCTGGGGCATCAGCATCTTCATCAAGGACAGAACTCCCTGTGCTCAGGGTTCAGCCCTCTCCTCACCATGCTGATAAAGAAGATGGCACAGGTACCCTCAAATCGCACAACCTATAGAACTTCCCCCTTCTCCTACCCTTCTGAAATATTTTCTCCCTTAGTTTTCTCAAAAGCAATTGCCTACCTCCTCAGCCAACACACACACACACACACAAACACACACACACACACACACACACACACACACACACACCACTCTCTCCCTCCTTGGATACTTTCATAATGTTTTCAGTCAGCTGAAATTTTTGCAAAATTTAGGACTAGCTCTTGACTTCCAACAGCTTCTGCTTGTGGTCCTACCAAAACCCCTAAGACAAGGATGCAAGGGAGGAATGGTACACAGCAAACAAAAGTCCATATTTCAAAAATTACGGTCAGGCACAGTGGCTCACACCTGTAATCCCAGCACTTTGGGAGAACTAGGTGAGAGGATCACTTGAGTTCAAGACCAGCCTGGCCAACATGGTTGAAACCTTGTCTCTACTAAAACTACAAAAATTAGGCTGGGCATGGTGGCTCACGCCTGTAATCCCAGCACTTTGGGAGGACAAGGCAGGTGGATCACCTGAGGTCAGGAGTTCAAGACCAGCCTGGCCAACATGGCAAAACCCCATCTCTACTAAAAATACAAAAATTAGCTGGGTGTGATGGTGCGAGCCTATAATCCCAGCTAATCTGGAGGCTGAGGTAGGAGAATCGCTTGAACCCAGGAGTAGGAAGTTTTAGTGAGCGGAGATCATGCTGCTGCACTCCAGCCTGAGAGACAGAGCGAGACTCCATCCCCCTAACAAAAAAATACAAAAATCAGCCAGGTATGGTGGCACGCGCCTGTAATACCAGCAACTCAGGAGACTGAGGCAGGAGAATCACTTGAACCCAGGAGGCGGAGGTTGCAGTGAACCAAGATCACACCACTGCACTCCAGCCTGGGTGACAGAGCAAGACTCTGTCTCAAAAAAAACAAAAAACAAAACAACATAAACAACAAAACCCCAAAACTTACCCTGCCTCATGAACAAGTAGTTTATATGCAATGGAAGTCCTTACCTGGAACCAGGATTCTATCTTTTTTATAGAATTTTTTCCTGGTCACTCCTATCATCAAAAGCAGGGATGTATACTCACTATTCTAGTTCTCCTGTTTTAAGGTGTTACACAAAAGTTCTAGGACTTATCTCTTGTTGATATTTTTTACTTGCAAGAACTATTCATTTATTGGAAACAGGACCCTACATGTCTTACAGGGTCAACTGCTTTATCTTGCTTAGTGAAACAAACTCTATTAATCTACAAACTAAAGCATGCTTGTTATCAGGAATCACTCACATATATATATATATATATATATATACATACACAGTCAGGCATGGCTTCATGATGGGAATATGTTCTGAGAAATGTGTTGTTAGGTGATTTTGTTATTGCACGAACATCGTAGAGGGTGCTTACACAAACTTAGATGCAATAGCCTACTACACACCTAGGCTATATGGTATAGACTATTCCTTGTATTCTACAAACCTATACGGCATATTATAATGAATATTATGACAAATCTAACACAACGGTAAGTTTTTGCATATCTAAACATAGAAAAGTTACAGTAAAAATACAATATTAAAATCTTATGGGACCACCATTGTATATATGGTCTGTCCTTGACAAAAATGTCATTATACAGCTCATGACTGTTAGTCAGGATATCTAGCTTCAAATGACAGAAAACTAAGTGAAAGTAGGTTAAGTACAAGAGAAAATCTATTGGCTCACAGAATTTGGAAGTTCAAAAATTGGACTCAGTCGGGCACAGTGGCTCATGCCTGTAATCCCAGCACTTTGTAATCCCAGAGCTTTGGGAAGCCAAGGCAGGCAGATCACCTGAGGTAGGGAGTTCAAGACCAGCCTAACCAACATGGAGAAACCCTGTGTCTACTAAAAATACAAAATCAGCCTGGTGTGGTGGTGCATGCCTGTAATCCCAGCCTCTTGGGAGGCTGAGGCAGGAGTCTCTTGAACCCGGGAGGCAGAGGTTGTCATGAGCTGAGATGGCGCCATTGCACTCCAGCCTGGGCAACAAGAGCAAAACTCCATCTCAAAAAAAAAAAAAGTGTCATTATATGATCTAGACTGGTGAATCCGAATACTCCATCTCCCAGGTATTGTGATTAGGTAAGTGGTAGTGATTAGATGCTATCAACACCTTGCTTGCTGAGATTTTTTTGCCCCTAAACTATTAGGACATACGCTTTTTAACCAGTGAAAATATCCTTCAAAAATGGAAGTGAAATAAAAACATTATCAGAGGATAATGAAAATCCATTATTAGAGGATGTCAGATTCCTTTAAAGTGGTAAAATATTGATTCTTAATTGGATTATAAAAAGTTATCAGAGGATAATGGAATTCCTCCAATGAAGGGAACCTGGAATGTCAAGAATAAGGAAGAATAACCGAAATGGTAAATATCTGGGTAAACATTCCTCTTTTTAGTTTATATATATATATGTAAAAGTATATATATACACATACAAAAATACATATGTAAAAGTATATGTGTATGTGTGTGTCTGTGTATATATATATGTGTGTTTGTATATCTACACACACACAAAATTATAACAAAAATTATAACACTGATGCAGCTTGCAATTCTGCTATACAAGATAACTATAACATAAAGGATGGGGAAGGAGATAAAGGAACTTATATAGTGATAACATTTCTGTACTCCTCCAAAAGAGGTAAAATACTGGTTCTTAAGTGGATTACAAAAAGTTAATATGTTTATTGTAATCCCTAGAACAAACACTAAAAAAAATGATATACAGATATGTGAAAAAACATAATGGATCAGCCAGGCATGATGGTGCACCCATGTATTCATATAATCCAAGATACTGGGGAGGCTGAAGCAGAAGGATCACTTTAATCCAGGAATTTCAGACCAGCCTGGGCAACACAGTGAGAGAAAGAAAAGAAAAAAAAGAGAGAAAGAGGAAGGAAGGAGAAACAATGGATCAATTAAAATGAAATACCTACAGATGTTCAATTAGCAAAAAAAAAAAAAAAAAAGGCAAGGAAAGGGAATAGAGCACAAATAAATGGTACACCTAAATCTGAACATATCAATAATTACATTAAATTTTACTGATCTACAAATACCAATTAAGTGAAAGAAAGTATCGTAATGGAATTACTTATTTATTTATTTATTTAATTTTTTTTTTTTTTTTTTTTTTTTGAGACGGAGTTTCGCTCTTGTTACCCAGGCTGGAGTGCAATGGCGCAATCTCGGCTCACCGCAACCTGCGCCTGGGTTCAAGCGATTCTTCTGCTTCAGCCTCCCGAGTAGCTGGGACCACAGGTGCGTGCCACCACGCCTGGCTAATTTTTGAATTTTTAGTAGAGACGGGGTTTCACCATGTTGACCAGGATGGTCTCGATCTCTTGACCTCATGATCCGCCCGCCTCGGCCTTCCGAAGTGCTGGGATTGCAGGCGTGCGCCACCGCGCCTGGCCTATTTATTTAATTTTTTAAAGACACAGTCTCACTCTATCGTCCAAGCTGGAGTGCAATGGCACGATCTCAGCTCACTGCAACCTCCGCCTCACGAGTTCAAGCAATTCTCCTGCCTCAGCCTCCCAGGTAGCTGGGACCACAGGTGTAAGCCACCATACCTTACTAATTTATGTATTTTTAGTAGAGACGAGGTTTCGCCATGTTGGCCAGGCTGGTCTCAAACTCCCACCTCAGGTGATCCGCCTACCTCAGCCTCCCAAAGTACTGGGATTACAGGCATTAGCCACGGCGCCCAGCCTATCATAATGAAATTTTTTAAATCACCCAACTAGACTTGCCCTCCATGCCTCGCCGCTCTTGGGTTCTTCGGCTCTGTCTGCTGCCGTGGCCCAAGCTGACATCGCCCTGATTGGATTGGCCGTCATGGGCCAGAACTTAATTCTGGACATGAATGACCATGACTTTGTGGTCTGTGCTTTTAATAGGACCATCTCCAAAGTTGATGATTTCATGGCCAGTGAGGCAAAGGGAACCAAAGTGGTGGGTGCTCAGTCGCTGAAGGAGATGGTCTCCAAGCTGAAGACACCCCAGTGGATCATCCTCTTGGTGAAGGCTGGGCAAGCAGTTGATTTCATCGAAAAACTGGTACCATTGTTGGACACTGGTGACATCATCATTGATGGAGAAAATTCTGAATATAGGGACACCACAAGATGGTGTCCTTGGCCGACACCTCAAGGCCAAGGGAATTTTATTTGTGGGGATCGGAGTCAGTGGAGGAGAGGAAGGGGCTTGGTATGACCCATCACTCATGCCAGGAGGGAACAAAGAAGCATGGCCCCACATCAAGACCATCTTCCAAGGCATTGCTGCAAAAGTAGGAACTGGAGAACCCTGCTGTGACTGGGTGGGAGCAGGCCACTTCATGAAGATGGTGCACAGCAGGATAGAGTATGGGGACATGCAGCTGATCTGTGAGGCATACCACCTGATGAAAGACGTGCTGGCCATGGTGCAGGACAAGATGGTGCAGGCCTTTGAAGATTGGAACAAGACAGAGCTAGACTTATTCCTGATTGAAATCACAGCCAATATTCTTAAGTTCCAAGATGCGGATAGCAGACATCTGCTGCCAAAGATCAGGGACAGCATGGGGCAGAAAGGCACGGGGAAGTGGACTGCCATCTCCACCCTGGAGTACGGCATACCCGTTACCCTCTTGGAGAAGCTGTCTTTGCTCGGTGCTTGTTATCTCTGAAGAATGAGAGAATTCAAGCTAGCAAAAAGCTGAAGGGTCCCCAAAAGTTCCAGTTTGATGATGATAAGAAATCATTCCTGAAGGACATTCAGAAGGCCCTCTATGCTTCCAAGATCATCTCTTATGCTCAAGGCTTTATGCTGCTAAGGCAGGCAGCCACCAAGTTTGGCTGGACCCTCAATTATGGTGGCATCGCCCTGATGTGGAGACTGAGCTGCATCATCAGAAGTGTATTCCTAGGAAAGATGAAGGATGTATTTGATCGAAACAAGGAATTCCAGAACCTCCTACTGGACGACTTCTTTAAGGCAGCTGTTGAAAACCGTCAGGACTCCTGGCGGCCAGCAGTCAGCACTGGGATCCAGGCTGGCCTTCCCACACCTTGTTTTACCACTGCCCTCTCCTTCTATGACAGGTACAGACACAAGATGCTTCCAGCCAACCTCATTCAGGCTCAGCAGGATTAATTCAGGGCTCACACCTATGAACTCTTGGCCAAACCAGGGCAGTTTTTCCACACCAATTGGACAGGCCACAGTAACAGTGTGTCATCCTCATCATACAATGCCTAATAATGCTGCTTCTGTCACCTTCCACGATTCCACAGACCAGGACATTACATGTGCCTCATGACATGCCCACATGGCCCTTTGCCCTATTTTTTGTTCAAAATTTTTTTTTTAAGCGTTGTAAGCGATTTCTGAGGAAGGCACAGAGTTCATTTGTAAAGTAGCTCTGTGAGAGCTGCTGTGCCTGCTGCCCTTGCCTCTTGGGACCGACCAGGAGCTGTTCATGTGCATGGGTGTGGGAACCTCGTCCTCACAGCAGGGGCCTCCATTTTCTCCGTGCTGGTGCGGTCCCCATCACACAGACGGGAAGGGTGTCTGTGCACTCTGATTAACTGGAACCTCTGTATCATGTGGCTCAATTCCCTTTTCCTTTATTCAATAAAACTGACATCAGACTGAGGCTGTTTCTCCCGATTCTTAAGTAGTCTCACCTCGGCCACACAGAGCCATTATCCCCATTGGCAGAAAAATTTTTCTTTAAAAACAAAAAAAGATGGCCGGGCGCGGTGGCTCACACCTGTAATCCCAGCACTTTGGGAGGCCGAGGCGGGTGGATCACGAGGTCAAGAGACCGAGACCATCCTGGTCAACATGGTGAAACCCCATCTCTACTAAAAATACAAAAAAATTAGCTGGGCATGGTGGCACGTGCCTGTAATCCCAGCTACTCAGGAGGCTGAGGCAGGAGAATTGCCTGAACCCAGGAGGCAGAAGTTGTGGTGAGCCAAGATTGCACCATTGCACTCCAGCCTGGGTAACAAGAGGGAAACTCCATCTCAAAAATAAAAAAGACTAGAATAACACAAGAAACATCACATTCAGGATCACGCTTAACTCAGAGGAGGCAGGCAGGGAGAGTGCACTAGGAGTTTTAATCCACTGGGCACGTTTATTTCTCCAATTGGGCAGTACATACATGGATGTTCACTGTAACATGTTTTTTTGTTTTTTATTTGCTCCTGGCAAGCTGTGCCTGACATTCTTTGTGCCTTTTGGTATGTCAAATACCTCATAATAAACTTTCTAGAAGAAAAAAGAAATCGCCCAACTATATACTGCCTACAAGAAACAGGCTTCAAATAAAATGTTACACAAAAGTTCAAAGTAAAAGGATGAAAAAGATATACCAGACGGGCATAGTGGTTTACACCTGTAATCCCCGCACTTTGAGAGGCCAAGACATGTGGATCGCAAGGTCAGGAGTTTGAGAACAGCATGGCCAACACGGTGAAACTAAAAATACAAAAATTAGCAGGGCATGGTGGCACGTGCCTGTAAGCCCAGCTGTTAGGGAGGCTGAGGCAGGAGAATCGCTTGAACCCGGAAGGTAGAAGGTTGCAGTGAGCCGAGATAGCACCACTGCACTCCAGCCTGGGCGACAGAGTGAGACTCTGTCTCAAACAGAAACAAACAAACAAAAAAGATACACCCTGCAAACATTAACCAAACTATAACAGGAGTATTATATTAATACCAAACAAAGTAGAATTTCAGAGCAAAAAAAATTACCAGAGATAAAAGGGGGCCTTACATAATAATAAGAGGGTCAATTTACCAAGAAGACATAATAATCCTAAATATATATGCACCTAACAACCAGTTGAACTTCAAAAACATGAAGGGAAAACAGACAGAACTGGCTGGGCATGGTGACTCGAGCTTGTAATCCCAGCACTTTGGGAGGCTGAGGCAGGAGGATTGCTTGAGCCCAGAAGTTCAAGACCATCCGGGGCAACACGGTGAGATACTGTCTCAAAAAGAAAAAACAACTGAAAGGAGAATTAGACAAATCCACAATTATAGTTGGAAATTTCAACACTCCTCTCAAAGTAGTTGATAGAAATAGTAGGCAGAAAATGAGCAAGAAAATAGAAAAATTGAATAACATCATCAAACAATTGGATCTAATTTACATTTATAGGACACTCCACCCAACAACCGTAGAACATACATTCTTTCAAGTACATGAGGAACATTTACCGAAATAGACAATAACCTGGGTTATAAAATAAACAATAACAAATTTAAAATAATTAAGATAATAAACATTTTCTCTGGTCATAAAGAAATTAAATTAGAAGTTGATAACAGAAAGATAACAGGAAATCTCCAAACACACGGAAGTTAACGTATTTTTAAAACTTCTAAACAACACACTGACCATGAATAAATGAAGACTCAAGTAAAATTAGAATATTTTAATAGAACAAAAAAATACAATGTATTGAAATTTGTGAGATACAACTAAAGCAGTACAGTTGACCCATCGACAACATAGTTTGAACTGCATGGATCCACTTTTTTTCTTTTAATCACACAACACAGGAAGCTTTATTCATCCGCCGCTACTCCAAAGAGAGGCTGGGAGGGTCACTCACTTTAATATGCTGTCCTCTTGGGCTTCTGCCAATTCTTTGGCAATCCATTTCAGTTCATCCTGCTGCTGCTTCTCCTCTGCCGTTATCCTCCTTTCCTCTTCTGCCCAAGGTTTTAGGTAACTGTAGCTCGTGGCTCCGTAGGCCATGCCGAGGAACAAGACGGAGTAGCGGTCAAACTTGATGAGCGGAGAAATCTGCACCGTTGGCACCGGCTTGTCCCTTGCCTTCGCATTCATAGATCCACTTTTATAAGTGAGTTTTTTTCTTCCTGCCGCCCTTGAGATAGCTAGATCATCCCCTTCTCTTCCTCCTCCTCCTCAGCCTGCTCTGCCTGAAGACGATGAGGATGAAGACATTTATGTCTGGTTCATTCCTGGCTTTTGGCACCAAAAAAAAATGACCTTTATGATCCACTTATGCATAATGAATAATATATTTTCCCTTCCTTTTTATTTTCTTAATAGTGTCTTCTTTTCTCTAGCTTACTTTATTGTGAGAATACGGTACATAGTACATATACAAAATATAGTTAATTGGCATCTATGTTATTGTTAAGGCTTCTGGTTAACTACAGGCTATTAGTAATTAAGCTTTTGTGGGATTCAAAAGTTACACGTGGATTTTCGACTGTGCAGGGTGCTTGGCCAAGCGTCAACTATATTTAAAGGGAAATTTACAGCATTAAGTCATTATATTAGAAAAGAAGAGGCCGGGCACGGTGGCTCAAGCCTATAATCCTAGCACTTTGGGAGGCCAAGGCGGATGGATCACGAGGTAGACCATCCTGGTCAACAAGGTGAAACTTCGTCTCTACTAAAAATACAAAAATTAGCTGGGCATGGTGGTGCACGACTGTAGTCCCAGCTACTCGGGAGGCTGAGGCAGGAGAATTGCTTGAACCCAGGAGGCAGAGGTTGCGGTGAGCCAAGATCGCGCCATTGCACTCCAGCCTGGGTAACAAGAGCAAAACTCCATCTCAAAAAAAAAAAGAAAAGAAGAATGATCTCAAATGAATAATCTAAGCTTATATCTTAAGAAATTAGAAAAAGAAAAGGAAAATAAACTCGAAGCAAGCAGAAGGAAGGAAATAAAGAGCAGAAATCAATGAAATTGAAATAGGGAAAATTGATAAAACCAAATCTTGATTCTTCATAAAGATTAATAAGATGAATAAACCTCTAGCAAGACTGACGAAGAAAAATTAGAGTGACCACAACTTATTAATATCAGGAATGTAAGAGGGGATATTGTTACAGGGCATACAAACATTAAAAGGACAAAAATACCATAAACAACTCTACACATAAAAATTCAATAATTGCTCTTCCTAAGCTGGAGCTCAACAAGGAGAAACCCATGTTCAGTTCAAGCACCAAGACTGTGAAGCCCAATGGCCAGAAGCCAGACGAGTTCGAGTCTGGCATCTCCCAGGCTCTTCTGGAGCTGGAGATGAACTCAGACCTCAAGGCCCAGCTCAGGGAACTGAATATGACAGCAGCCAAGGAAATTAAAGTTGGTGGTGGTCAGAAAGCTATCATAATCTTTGTTCCTGTTCCTCAACTGAAATATTTCCAGAAAAATCCAAGTCTGGCTAGTATGGGAACTGGAGAAAATGTTCAGTGGAAAGCATGTTGTCTTTATCACTCGGAGGAGAATTCTGCCTAAGGCAACTTGAAAAAGCCGCACAAAAAATAAGCAAAAGCGTCACAGGAGCCATACTCTTGACAGCTGTGCACAATGCAATCCTTGAGGACTTGGTCTTCCCAAGCAAAACTATGGGCAAGAGAATCCACATGAAACTGGGTGGCAGGCAGCTCATATAGGTTCATCTGGACAAAGCACAGCACGACAATGTGGAACACAAGTTTGAAACTTTTTCTGGTTAATTTTCAATTCCCAGAGTTTCAATTGTAAACAAAATGACTACATAAAATATATATTCACAATTTAAAAAATTCAATAATTTAGGTGAAATGGACCAAGAGCTCAGAAAACAAAAACTTCAAAACCCATTCAAGATAAACGAAATAACCTGTCCTATACAAATTAAATAACTTGAATTTATAGTTTAAAGCTTTCTAAAACAGAGATTTCCAGGCCCAGATGATTTCACTGGTAAATCTTACCAAACATTTAAAGAAAAAAAATGACACCAAATCTTCACAGTAGCCTCCAGAAGATAGAAGAAAAGGAAACCGTTCTCATCTCATTTTATATAGCCAGAATTATCCTGATTCTGAAGCAAGGCAAAGATAAGAAACTACAAGTCAATGTCTGTCATCAATATAGACACAAAAATCCTCAACAAAAATATAAGATTTACTAATAATATAATATTAGTAAATCTTTAAAAGTTATTAAATAGAATAATATAAAGAAAATAACACAGCAAGTGTTACCAAACCCCACTTGGACCAAGTGGGGTTTCCTCCAGGAAGTTTGGTTTTATATAATTTAATATGATAATTATATTAAATAATATATTATATTTTTATTATATAGTTACATATAAATGTGTGTGTATATATATATACACATATATTTTTTAATTTTTTTGTTTTTTAAGAGAGAGGATCTTACTCTGTCACCCAGACTGGAGTGAAGTGGTGCGATCATAGCTAGCTCACTGCACCTTTGAACTCCTGTGCTCAAACCATCCTCCCACATCGGTCTCGGGATTACAGGTGTGAGCCACTGTGCCTGACCTGGTTTAGTATTTGAAAATCAATCAGCATAATCACATATTAATAATCTAAAGACAAACCACATGATCATATCCATTTCCACAGTTGATACAGAAAGGTATTTGACGGTCTCTTCCACAGGAGGGCTGCACACCACCGCTTGCGCTGCCGCCATGTCTCTAGTGATCCCTGAAAAGTTCCAGCATATTTTGTGAGTACTCAACACCCACATCGATGGGCGGCAGAAAATAGCCTTTGCCATCACTGCCATTAAGGGTGTGGCTAAAGATACGCTCATGTGGTGTTGAGGAAAGCAGACATTGGCCTCACCAAGAAG